GTCGATCTCACCAGAAGAGGACGGCTGAATTGCGTCGAACTGCAGCCGTTTGGCTTTTGTGCGACGTTCAGGTTGACGCAGTCCACGAGACCTCCTCTCTCGTTTCGAGTGAAAACGGGCCTCGAGGACTGAGTCAACCTGAACGTCGTACAAAAGCCAAACGGCTGTAGTACAACGCGATTCAGCCGTCCTTTTCTGATAAGTTTGACCTACGAATCTCTTCTCCATGCACTTTCACAAAAGTAAAAGTCCCCCAGCAATATGAGAGTAATTTATATAAATGCCGTGACTTTTTTAATGTACCGTCTGATAATGCAGAAATTTGCTATAGCTTATTCAGTAACTTTTTACTTTAGAGAATCTATTCGATCAAACAGCCATAATAAAGCTACTAAATGCCCCAAAGAGTATTTACAACGCTTGCAGCAATCGTATTGCCCTGCCAAAATTAAACAGAATACAAAGAGGAAACTTCCATCGTTTTCTGGTAGGGTCGCGCTCTTAATCTTTTGAGCCGTTCACTTTCAAGAGATTCCGCTACTTGTTTGCTTGTTCTATTCCCTTGACGCAAATATTTTTTATTTCATTCATGTATTTCTAATAATGCAAATTTTGGAATTTCACCATTTGGTACTCCATTATCCCATTGCTCGCCTCTCATTGCAACAGAAACCCAATCGGGCTTCTGCGGTGCTCCATATGCATTAATTTTATTATGCAACGCTCTCATCTCTGCAGTGGGATTAAGTCCCTAATCTGAAATTTATAATGATGCCATTTGACCACTCCTTTAATTTTCCCAGTAAGTATTTTTCTAGTCCGTTAATAAGTACTAGAATAGAACTTAATTCAGCATGAGCATCTTATGTTAGATTAAGTCGAAAGTGAAATTTTCCTCCAACAAAATACATGGGCCTTACGATTCAATTGAATTGGAATTTGCCCTTCTTCTCGAAAGGCTTGCCAACTAAGAGGGATCCGTATGTTATAACCTCGTTAAGGTAACTGATAAGACTGAGGAAATTTATAGATACGAAGAGAAACTTGGTTTCGATGAATCTCCTGAGATATCATTGTTAGGGGGAACTTCATT